ATATTCATGTAATTAAGTAATGTTTAATTGAGCCTGGCCAACGACTGGCAACCAACGCTGGGCCGAGATGGGCGCCCAGACCTGGCCCGATGTTATCATTCCAGGTTTCAACCAAGTCCGGCGCGGTCCCGGTTGAGGAACGGGTCCCGAAGTTCGGCAGGCCGGCCACCGGGCTTGGGCCAAGCTCGGCCCATTCGTTTTTTCGTACGTGGGTTACCATTCAACCCTCAGAATATCAGTCTTATGATTTTTCCGCCCCTTTCCAAAATTGCGATTTGACCCTTACAATTTTACTCTTCAGATTTTACCCTTATGATTCCACCCCTATGATTCCATTCTCATCATCTCACCCTTACGACTTAACCCTTACAGTTACACCAACGGCTGGAGCCCAATGACCAAGCTCCGGGCCACCGCTGGCTGAGGCTTGGTTATCGAGCTCCGGCATGCCAATGTCCGGCCAAGGCTGGGCCAGATCTGTCAACCAAGGCTCGGTTACCCGCCCTTCTCCCGAGACTCAAGCCCTGGTCCCCAGGGATGGCCGAACCTCGGTCCAAGCCTGGGTGCCCAGACTTGGCAAGCCCAGGCTTGTGCCAGGCTTGGCCCGTTTCTCCAACACTGGCATTTCGTACGTGGGGTAGGGCACAAATAATACTAAAAATCATCCTAAAAAATGTTCATTATTTTGTTCATTATTTTGTTTTTTTTATATCATATGAATGTAATTAAGTAATGTTTAATTGAGCCTGGCCAGCGACTGGCAATCAACGCTCGGCCGAGATCGGCGCCCAAACCTGGCCCGATGTTATCATCCCAGGTTTCAACCAAGTCCGGCGCGGCCCCGGTTGAGGAACGGGCCCCGAAGTTCGGCAGCCCGGCCACCGGGCTTGGACCAAGCTCGGTCCGTTCTTTTTTTCCTACCTGGGCAATCCGCTGAAGTTTTGAACAGCCGTAGCTCAGTCGATGTTTATTTCATGGTAAAGTATGTTTTTCTTGTCGTTATAAAAAAAAGAATCTTGAAAACTCTTGTTTTTTTGGAAGAAATAGTATCTTATGTCATTAGGCGATAAAAGTATTATCTGGCGAATGTGGCTTTATAGTCCGAGCCGAAGGCGAGGTCAGCTAATGGTGGTGAAAACATTATCATCATCTACAAACATAGCTATAATTTTCCGTCAAGTTATCTAAGCTAACCCCAGGCCAGGCCTAGAGCAGCTCTTTGTGCACGTGGCTACATAATTATTATCCTTATCTATAATTAATTAATCAATCGATTCTGAACTCATAAATCCATCGGACCCATCATTCATTCAAGTTTAGGAAGTTTAATTAGGATATCAACAAAATAACAAAATAACACTAACACAAGTTGAATTTTTATACCCGAAAAAAATGTATCATCCTAAGAAGTTGCGGGTAGCCCAGTGAATAGCGCGCTTGTGTACGGATCAGAAGGACCCTGGATCGAACCCCAGCAGAGGAGCAAATTTTTAAACGCTTGATTCCATTGTATTTCAATTTCCAGGTGCGTGGTAATAATCCAGGACGAATAATTAATAGAAACTAATGATGATAATAATTTTTTTCCAATCCATTGTTAATTAACCAACAATCACAATCACCAACAACGCTTAGCAACAGTGATGTACGGTCCGACCGCACTCTCTTTCATAGGTTACTCTAAATTCATAAAAAGGGTTATGAAGCAATAAGAAATTGTTTATACAAATATCTGTAAACAATACTCCAGTTTATTTAGCCGAAGCTCGATTGAGCCTTTAAAATTTGGTAATTCAAGGCTTGAATTAAGCCTTGGCACCGAGCCTCGTTCAAGCCTTGCGGACTAAGCCTGAAACGAGGTTATCATTTTAGGGCTGAAGGAGGATTGACCCAAGGCTGAGCCCCAGCCCTGATTGAGCATTTCCGAGCCTTGGTCCAGGGCTTGATGAGCCCTGTTTCTATCGTCAATTCTTACCTGGGAGATAATACTTTCATCGCCGTATGGCATACAATATTTTATGTCGTTGGGCCCGAAAACCGCGATCTAACCGAGCGAAGCGAGGTTAGAATCGCGGTTTTGTCGGGCCCAACGACATAAAATATCGTATGCCACACGGCTATAAAAGTATTATCGCCTGGTGACATAATATACTATTATGTCATTGGGGTCGAACACCGCGATCTAATCGAGCGAAGCGAGGTTAGAATCGCGGTTTATCGGGCCTGATGACATAAATGGATTTTTATTATAAAAAATGAACAAAACTATTTAAAAAATCGGATAGTGCATGCAAGAGGATCTTTTCTCCTCCCTCTCAACCAAATTGATGTACGATCGTCTCTTTCTTTTTCGATATTCGTTTATCTTATCGTTTCTAGTCCGCGGACGTGTAATTCCTTTTTGTATCTCTTTTTTGCCCCAAAATCTTTAATAAACAGTTATTTATTTATTAAATGTACCTATTTTTTACAATATTTACTTTTTCAGATCAATTTTGACGTGGATACGTATATGGTTTCAATATGGAGGGTCATTTTGGGTAACGGTCCTTCTGTGGAACGCCATCTATCGGAATTCTAGAGAATTCTAGACATTTCGAGGTAATTTGAGAAGTTTCTTGAAATTTCGAAAAAATTCAAGTTTCTAGGAAATTCGAGAAAGAAGGAAAGACCATGGATACCGCTGTATCGAACATACAGCCACCTGCAATTTTTTTTTACATAACTAACCATCTTTCCTCAACAATAAAGCCCTTCTAAAATTTTTCGATTAAATGCATAACTTTTGAGATATAAATATTCAAAAGCATGTTTATTTGCCATTCACTGGAATTTTACAATTGTTATAACTTTAACCAAAAAAATTGGGCTGTTAACAGTATCTCTGGTTCTCCTTCTGTGATATATGCAATTTTCCCAGAAATTTTTTTTTTTCGCCTGTTGAAATAGCGTGGAATGCCCCATATATGAGTTGAATGGGACCAATGTCTCAGTAACAATCAATTATTAAGGCGAAAAGGATCATTCCTCACCCAATCTAAAATCCCATCTTCGACAATCCCCAACCCTCATACATTCTCATGTTTTTCCCTACATTCAATTTTATTCTGAGTCTCTGGATAGAAGGTACAAAGTGCTGATTCATAAGTTACGAGGCGAATATACTTGAGCAAATGCCCTTGCCAAGTCTTCGTGTTTTTAACCTCGCTCCTTCTTTCACATAACCCCAACCATTTTATCCACATCATTTGACTAAGTGCGAGACTTTAGATGTCTTGTTTCCATCGCTCTTTTTATGTTCCCTTATCTCTGAATGTTTCCTTCTAAACCGAGAGAAGTATGTATTTGCTGTCAGCTCACCTTTTCTCGACCACCGATGTGTACTCGCACCCTCGCTATACCCTGTTCCAGTGATATTTGCAATCGATCGGAACTGTTCTCGAGACTTGTTGCTAATAGTAAACCCTTGGGCTTTGTTGTCTTGAATCTCATGGAGATCTCTTCGGCCTGGGTTCTCGAGTCTTCTGGCATCAGTGCTGTCAGCTGTTGGCTTCCGTTGAGGTGAAGAATCGATGCGTCTTCATAAAATAAAGAAAAATTCTTTTTTACAGGAAGTATCCGAGTGGAAATTTCACTCAGGTTGTCTGGATCTAAATTAGTTTTAGATCCAATACTGGTTCGGATTTTCTGAGCAGATCTCTCGGGTAAGGGTCTAGTCAGTTTCTGAACAGAAACTGAAGAAGAAGTTGCATCTGATCTTTTTCACACGCAACTTCTCCGAAATCTAGTTTTCAAATTTAATTTTCAAATTTCTATCAAAAGTTCTATCGAAATTCGTTCAACGTCGGTTGTTGCTATTATTTACCATTCAATTTCATTATTCACAATTTCTTGTTCATAGTTGAGATTAAAAAAATTATTCTTTCATCGAAGGCACACATGACTAAATAAAAATTCTACTTCAAGGCAGTTCCAAATCTTGTTTTCATTGCATGTAAGCTTATTTTTTGAATGATGAGGACCGATCCTGAAAATTGATCAGGCACTGCACGTATGAAAAAATCGTATAGAAATTTTCTATACGGATTGCGTACAGAAATTCTATAGGATTTTCATATACGATATTCGGATATTTCTATACAAATATTTTCTATACGAATTATTTCTATACATAAATTTTTACATAAATTTTTGTTTTCATATACGAAAGATGTCTAAACGCTCCAGAGAAAAATGTAGAGAAATGTCGCAACTCCATAAGAAATGTTTCTATACATATGGCAGTGGGTCGTATAGGATCAAACCTATAGAAATCGTATAGAAATAATTTGTATAAAAAATATCCGTATAGAAATATTCGAATATCATACGAAAATCATAGAGAAATTCTATACGCAATCGGTATAGTAAATTTCTATACGATTTTTTCATACGTATGCTGACACAGATTGGATCCAGGTACTGACCAGATCGATTTTTATCGTAGACTGGTCAGGGAGATCGGATCCAGGGATTCAGTACTGAACAAATAAACCGGATCCTGATACTGGCTGATTTGAATTTCCACTCGGGTATTGCATATTTTGTACAGTAGTTCGATTGTACCTGATAATAAATTGATAATTTCTCTCTGAATGGATGAAATTTTTAGCAATAGTGATTTTTACAATGATATTGAACATTTCCATTTTTTCTTTTTGACACATAACTCTATTATATATTCTGTAAAATTTTCGGTCGTATTATTTTTTCATTCTATGTATCATTTATGTATTGGAGTTTCCGTAATTTAAAGGTTTTACTCTGACTTTTTCCATTTGAATTGAATGTTTTTGTAAATTCTACGAAATTTTTTTTTAAAATATTTTTTAACCGTGAATTTGATGAAAATAATGGTCATTATTTGGCGACGCCATTTTAAAAGAAAAAATCGGAGAATAAAGCTTAAAACGGTAATTTCATCGGGTTCACCATTATTTTTTAATTCCATAGTTTTTCCAAAAATTCCGACAGTTTGTCGTTAAAATCCTATTGCAAAATTACTCGCTCATATATCCTTCGACGGCCTTTTGATAATAATTCGAGAATTAGTTATCCATCATTTTGGTGTCAATTTATTTCAATAACCATGTTGAAAAGTATTGAGGATATGCATATGAAGTGTGATTGAATCGTTGTATGTTCATTTAAAAATGAATAATAGTCATTCGGACAAAACTTTCAAATGCTCGGTTTAAATGAAAATTTAGTCTCGCTGATGAATGATCCATGAGCGAATGATCGGAAATTTTTTGTAATTTTACAAAGGAATGGACTGCATTATAAAACAAAGTGAACAGGCTAGAAATTAAGTTTCCAGATATATTCTTGAATTTTCACCATGAAAGTGATGGTGAAGGAAAAAATGGTCATTATTTTTCACAAATTTAGGAAATTTCCGATTTTTTTTTACTTATAAAATTTCTGATTAATAAATTTTTTACTTTTTTCAAACATTTCTTTTCTGTATTGTATAAAATTGAAATTTTTCTTGTGGAATCGTCACGAGGAATCATTTCAACGATTGTGGAATTGTTTTGAGGAATCGAAAATATGTGAAGCTCTATTCACTGAAGCGCCTAATTTTCCATACATAAATGATACATATAACATAAAAGGACCGGAAATTTTCAGGACGGATTCGCTTACGATATTACGTAGAAAAGCCCAAATATAAGAGAAAAATCTGAGAGGCTACTCACTTCATAATTGAATGACACCATGATTTCGAAATGAAGTAAATTTCGGGTGATTTCGGAAAAAATGAGTTTGGTTATTACGGGCGTCACGGGAGATGTCATGATTTCGAATGATTTCATTAATTAGAGATCAGTGATTTTAGAAAAATAAAGTTAACAAATAATAGAGGTGGGGCAAAACGGGTTGTGGTAAATCATGAAAATCAAAACTGGCAAATAATAACGAATTCGTTTGATTCCACTCTGCCAATCTTGAGCTAATGACGATGAAAAGCGGTCCATTTTTCCATCTTACTATGGCAGTGAGTACGACATTTCATTATCATCGTTGGCAGCCGTGTTAATTTCAAAATCACGAATTTGCGCGGTTCGCACTACGCTAGTGCGCCGCTGATTTCGGTGATTTCACGTGATTTCGGAATGATCTCATGCCAGAGTGGCGCCGTGATTTCGGGAGTGAGTAGCCCCTCGGAAGAATCTAAAAATTTACTAGTTGGTAAAATTGAAAGGAATTTTTGGAAAGGGCGTCAAAATTTATAAAGCCAAAAATTTGACGAAATAATTCTGAACTAAAATTTGAATTGACATAGTCCATTGAATCCAAGCGGCCATTGAGAGTCCAATCGAACTTCCCTGTAATGTCTATATTTCGAGATATTATTCTCAAACCTTTGCCACACGTGGGCCCGGTGAATGCAGTTGCTGTACAATCGCAATAAAATCTGTTCCAACCCTCGAGACAATGGCCACCGTGCATGCACGGCTGAGACGAACAGTGGGCGGATTGCGCGTGACACGCTGGTCTTACTGCGCCTGAAATCATAAAAGAAGTAAACATGGATTTTTTTTCAGAATAAAAAGAAAATTTATTGCTTAAATTTACGGGGGGCACTGCTAGGCACGATAGTCGTCTAATGCCCGTTGTTAACTTATTATTCTGATGATTTGTGGGCTCTTTAGAGGAGTGAAATGATAATGGTTTTTCATAATGGTTATTGGTATTATAATTTTTTTCCCTTTTATTGCTCTAGAGGTGCATTTTTCCTGCCCGAGGTTAAGAAAGTTTTTATGCAAGAATTTCAACCCCAGCGAAGCATTTCAAATCTACATGTGGAGAAAATATTCACCTAGCTAAAAGACAGAAATATTTTTTCAATAGAAGGCAATATTTTATTTTGATTTTTATGTATTGTATATAAGTTCTAAAATTTTGAAATTGGCACCAATGGTCACCATGCGTCTTATACTATTAAGGGGAGACTACTATGAGTTTTAAAATTCACGGGCTATTGAAATGAAATTTCTCATACATTGAAGATCGATTATATATGTCTAAAAACGGATAATCAGTGAAAAAAAATTACTTGTTTATGTCACACCGTACGATAAGTCAAGTTTAAGGCACGCTGCACTATCGCACGATCCCGAGTGGAAATTGCTTCAGGTCCACCTGAAGTATGATTAGAACTTGATCCAGTTTTTGTAAGATTTGATTGGTCAGGTGATTTCTGATGAGAACTTGACCAAGTTTTGATCTAGTGGATCGGATTCCCAAAACTACCGGCGAGTTCAGATCAAGTTCTGGTCAGGTAGGTGTGATCAGGTGACGCCTGATGAGAAGCTGACTAAATTTTGATCCAGTCGATCGGATCCCAAAAACTTCAGACGGGCTCAGATGTAGTTCTGATCAGGTAGGCATGATCTCAGTCTGAGGTCAGGTTGCCTAAACCCAATTTGATCCGATTCGGATTTGATGCAATTGATTTTACTTGATCTTATTTTGAACAAACCTTTTCCGAGGATCAAATTTTTAATTAATTAAAATTTTTTAGTAATTTTTAATTAATTAATTGTGAGGCGAGGGGGAGGGGTGGCTCAATAACTACATATAGTCGAAGTGTCACACTCACAAGCAAATTATCTTGATTAGAAAAAAACTTATCAAGCTCCCATTTGTTATGATTAGTGTTATGATTATCAGGATTATTATCCATTAATGAAATGGATAAAATTTTAACTAAATAAATTTTCTTTCTCTGAATATACGCGTAAATCGGTGAGATCATAAATAATCTCAAAGTCAACAAATACCCAGATACAGATCATATTATAGGCAAAACGGAGTCCCCTTAATAACAATAGCGCGATAGTCTAGTGGGGATTAGTAATCGTAGGTTCCCCGGTTCGATCCTCACCATCGGAAAAAATACGAAAGTTTTTTCAACGGTAATTACGGTAGGGATTCATTAGGAGAGGCCATCTAACGTGAAAAAATTGAAATTATCTTTTGTTTTGAATTAGTTATCACTAATAATTATTATTGATTCCGGCAGACAGGTCATCAGGTTTGAATACGTTAGCTTGATCATATCTGGAACTGTTAGGCCTGATCAAGTCTTGATTAAAAACCGCGTTACATGACTGATCAGGACTTGATCCAGTCATCAGATCATTTTCTGATCAATCGTCAGGCCTGACCTGATCCAGTCCTGACTTGGACCTGACCAAATTTTCCACTCGGGATGTAACAAAATAGTATAGACCACTCGGGCATAANACGTCAAAAAATTGAAATTATCTTTTGTTTTGAATTAGTTATCACTAATAATTATTATTGATTCCGGCAGACAGGTCATCAGGTTTGAATACGTTAGCTTGATCATATCTGGAACTGTTAGGCCTGATCAAGTCTTGATTAAAAACCGCGTTACATGACTGATCAGGACTTGATCCAGTCATCAGATCATTTTCTGATCAATCGTCAGGCCTGACCTGATCCAGTCCTGACTTGGACCTGACCAAATTTTCCACTCGGGATGTAACAAAATAGTATAGACCACTCGGGCATAAATTTCGTTTTCAATGAATGTTAGTACAGACCTCGCCTTCGGCTCGGCCTGTAAACTTCACATTCGTCGGAAACGAAATTCATGCCCTTGTGGTCTAATATACTATTTTCGTTCGTTTACCCCGCAAACGCTTGAAGTGTTCAAAATAATTCAGGGCCTCCAATTTTTGAGCTACAAAGATGTTTTTTTTTCAAAATTTTCGAAAAAATGTGTGCAATAACAATTACGAATTAGATTTTTGAAATTCACCTGCTCCACAGCTAATTTCGTTATTTTTTTAATAAAAAATTGTACCACTCATGTCAAATAACACGAAAAATATTTCTGAAAGAATCGAGAATATATTTTTAACATTTTAAGAATAATTTTTCTGCCGTAGAATTTATTTCCGATCTGAATCTTCAAAATTCAAGTTATGTTTATACTACTTTAAGTGAGAGACGAAATATGAATTTTCGATAGAACGCTGTCTAGCGGTTCATTCAGTCTTTACTTATGGATTTATTTTATTTATTTATTTATTGAACATGCATTCATGAATTCAACAGCCGAAGCCGATAATGGGCTTTAATATGGCTAAAGTAGAGTGTAGTAACGATGGGTACACAATAAACAATACGTGATTGTAAAGTATAAGGTCACCTTGTCCACGATATTGATTAATAACTTGATTAACAAACTGTTAAAAAAAATTTATTGAAGTTTTCGTCTCCAAATAACCTCCCGAGCTACCCTCAAAATATCTAAGTTCAGTAGTGTGACACTCTGTATAGCAATATTTTTTTCAATAAAAAAATTTATTTCATTTTGCAATAGAAAAAAATGAACAAAAAAATTTCAAATCTAGTAAATGACCTGAGATAGTCACGAAATCAATAGGTTGAATACTGCTTCCTTCTAAATACGTTAACTGGCGCTCGAGATTCTCAGTTGCTGCGGTGTCCGAGTGGTTAAGGAGTCAGACTCGAAATCTGATGGGCTTTGCCCGCACAGGTTCGAATCCTGTCCGCAGCGAAAATTTTTTTTATTCTCTTAAAAAATCAAATAGCCCTCACAATTCGCCAAATTGACATTATAAATCATGAGTTATGTATTTTGACGGTGTAATGGAGGATCCACTCATGAATATTCACAGGGAATTTTGTGGGAAGACCCGAGAGGTTAGGCACAGTGATGGAGATTTTCTCACCAGAGTCTTGTTGTTGGGCATAGCCGGCGATGTCAACGGGTTGTCCATTGATAACAAGATCTCGCATGCAACCGACGTAACCTTGCCTCAGGGCACCACTCCAAAGGGTGGGCGGTACTGTCAGAGGTGCAAAGGGCACACCAACACCACCGATGTAGAGCAAACCGTCGAGGTCGAGTTGCGTTGAATCACCTGAAATAGCAAAGGAGATTATATATTTTAATGAGAATAGGTGATGATCTCATCTCACTTATGATACTAACAAGAATTTTGATGAAATTGGAGGATAGAATCATCGTCCTAATCTCAAGATTTTTATCCAGATTTTTTTTTTAATCTGCAGTAGAAATGTGTATTTTGCTAAGATCGAGTCTAAAACAAGTCAAGAATAAACCCTCAGAGGCGAAAATGATCAGTAAAATGACGATGTGTGGCTTTTTAGAAAAAATATTTTTGGATGAATTGCTCTATACCAGGATGTATTAAATCGATTGACACCAAATTTTATACACAAGTGTGATTCAATAATACTAATTGGTAACCACAATCTCAGATGTTTATTCCAAGTTTTACGCATATTATGGAACGCCAAATCAACTCTCAATTGAAAAAATTAGAAAAAGGCGAATATCTCGAAAATTTTGATGAATGGGTATTCATATTTTGATTGATCTTGATAGAAAGTAGCAAGACGATTATTATGAAAAAAAAAAAAAAATCGGACCAGTAGTTTGGGAGACATTGAACAGAACAGTTTTTTTTACAAAAAGTTAAATATCGTCAAAGCCACTTGTTCGATTTCGTCGACCCATAATTCCATCCTGTATTATCACAAGAGCTACAAGCTCACCAAGTGTCAATATTGTAGCTAAATTTTTCGGGAGTTATCGTGCCCAGAACGATTTTTTCATAAAAATGAAAAATGCCGATTATCACCAAACTGCACTGATAGGAAGAATTAGTTATTGTTAACGAATGGATTTGGTTGGAGACGAGGGTCTATTCGGTCTCACCAAATGTTGATTCGTTAATAGTTAACAAATGCACATTTGAGGAGCCTTGTTCGGCTCGATTTGCACTTTCCAAGTGAACCATTCGTTAACTATCAACAAATATTCATTTGGTCATATTCAACTCTACCATTCGTTAATAGTTAACGAATCTCGTCTGGAATAAATGAATCAGTTTATCAGTGTGTTCCTGTTGCGTCGCAACGGAATGTTAAAAACTCAATCTATAAGTCATTCATCGGTAACTTGAAAATATCACTTGAAGACATTAATTATAACGAATTCCATGCGTCTGTAACAGTCGATTCCACTGTTTATGCAAATTGTAATATTTGAGTATTTCCCGTGTTCAACTTAAAGATGAAACTATCTTTTATTCTATCCGCTGTGCACCAAAGGTCGACAGTTGAAAGCACCCCTGCAAGGAGCCTTATGCCTGAAACCAACCCAAAAGGTGTATCAGCGGTCAGTCTGGAAACAGCCAATATTGAACTTATTCAATTTTTTGAATCAATTCTCCCCTGCGAAATACTCAAGTGAATCTAATCATATCTTTCTTGTATCTGAAGAAATTTTAGATTTTTAGTTTCAACTTTTGTCCTTTTTCTGTGAAGATTTATAAAAGTCTTCTGAAAAATTCGCACACACATCCGGACATACATACACACATTTTCTAAAAACATCATATCTTCACATTTCATGACATTCATATCCATCCATATCAATTCATATCAATCCTGAAACTGCATTCATATCAATCACAAATTCCATGTATCCATCAATTAGTCAACCCCATTAATTTAGTCAAATAAATTAGTAAAAAAATATTCAAAGAACGGAGATTCATTTGGTCGATGTCCCCACAAGTGTTTCATCGAGTTAGTGGGAGAAAAGATTTTCTATTTGAAGTATTCCACGTCAAATAGGTCAACCCCTGACCGTCGCCCTTTGGAAAGTGAACGATGAAATTTTAAACGGGTGAGAGTGGCTCAAAAAACTGTTTAAAATCCTATGCGATTTCGGGAAGAATTCCGGACCTTTCCGACTTGTTGCCTGGGGTATTAGGAAACCCTCGCCGAATACCGAGTTCACCCGAGAGGTATTAATTCGCCTCCCAAATTTCAGTCAGTTATTCGTCACCAGTCGAACATATCAAGTGCGTGAAAATCATCTGTGTAAATCATCATTGTAAAATCACCGGAAAATTCATCTTCTCAATCATCGAGTCATTTAACTTTTGGAAACTTTATCCGAATATTTAATAGTCACGTCATCGAATGTCATCTTTGTTTTTGTTTGTTTATTGGACAATTATCTCTGTACCTTCACCGAAATTCAACGCGTGTGAGATAGACATTCAACAGAACAGTGATCGTGAATTGAGAAATTCATCGGTTATTTTGTTTGCGATATCAACGTGCACAGTATTTTAGTGAATAAAGTGACTGGGCTCAGGCCTAATTCCGGAGTTCTTATTCCTAAAACCTGCACTTAATTTCCCTCTACGACCATCCTGAAATTCACCGAAACTGACCATAATTTTAACGAACTGTCTCCTGATTTTTTTTTTCAATTTTTCTGTAGCCTGTATGCAAGATATGATTTTTTCGCGATTTCTGGTTTTTTTCCCCATAACTCGTGTTCCAATGGACCGATTTCAATTTATCAAGCGTCAAAATGTTTCTTTTTTCGCCATCTTTGAGAATATATCGGATGATTTTTTTCAAATCCTGCATGATGACAATGATGAAGTTTCAGAAAAAAAATTGAAAACCTTGAATTTTTCCAATTTCGTCACGTTTAAATTTCGTAATTTTTCTGTCTTCTATTCTCACTATCAATACAAGTATTTTGAGTCATACCGGACGTTGGCCAAAGTCCTAGATTCATTCTATTTCTAATTTTTCTGCTTAAAATTTCCTGTTTTTGTTGGAAATTTTTTATGAATTCTCCGGGACTCTTTTCAAAAATATAATTAACATTATCGCAATGACCTTCGATGAGCGACAGTCGCCCAAGCAACGCACTGTTTAGTCTGGCTGTAGCGTCTACTCCGGTTAGTAGTTGGATGTCTAGCCCCACCTCCTTGTGTCGAACGGCTGCCGTCAGGCGTGAATGTAGAGACCTGTTGTACTCATCTAGTCAGTGTGACAGATGGGAACGATAGGACCCTGCAATATCGGCCAGATGTACGACTGGGATTTTCCATGGTTTCCCTTGCAGTCCTAGCTCGGAAGGGGTGTACGAAAAATTCCTTCAAGATCTTCGTCTATCTTAACCTTCGATCACTCGCTCAATGAGCGCGGCGCTGCTCGTTTTTTCATTTATTTGACTGAAGAGGCGGATCATTCATACAAGACGGTGCCTTTTCAGGATAAATAGTATATTTCGATATGATTGCGAGAAAGTGTTTTTGGGGTCGTGGGAAGTTTATAGCACGAGCCTAAGGCGAGCGATATAATCCCACGAGTCTAAAAACACTTTTCTCGCGAGTATCGAACCCTATTTTTCATCACAATGTGTGAGAAGTGGGGTTTTGCGCACGCGGAGCGTGCGTAAAATGTCACTTTACACACAGCGTGATAAAAAAAAATCTTTTATGAAGGAAGCTTTATCTAGAAATATTTCGTCATATCAGTATTATTATTTCATTTAAGAATTCATTTTTGGTCTGTGATTATTGAGTAACCGAAACGACAAACTACTATCCCTCGTTTCATATAAAACGAGCATTTGCCGGGAGCAAAATACGTATGGGACCATCGAATAACGAAGTGCTATAGAAATTACATCTCTTTCTTGCACAAAGAATATAGTATATTGTGTTACAAGTGCGTAAAGAACCACTTTTTCGCACGCCCGCGTAACACATCCTATTTTTTGTGATACCTGTTGAGTTCACTGTTTGGAACAGTAGTGGGGGTAAAGTGGTTGTTTTTGTGCACCAAGTGCGTCAAGTTCACTTTACACACGACCTTGAACGACCTTAAGGTCGTGTGTAAAGTGAAGTTGACGCACACTAAACGGTTTCGAAAAGTGAACTTTTCAAGCAGGTATCACAAACAAATTTTTTTTGAAAAGACTAAATCTATTTTTGCAATAAAAATGTTTAATCTTGGCGCACGACTTGCATGTTTGCAACAAAAAATACTTTTTGGATCATTTTAACAAACAAGTTTTTTTGGTACAAGTAAGACTTGTTTGAGAACTCTGCTATGTTCTCTCAGTGTACACACAGAACAAAGTTCAGATAAAAATGGTTATCCAATCTAGGTAAACGAAGAGCGAACTGGGATTTTAGGAATTTTCATTTCAAATCAAGGAAAAAATGTGAGATGAAGTATAAATTTTGCTTTGTGTAACGCAATTTTTCACAAACGAACGGTAAAATCGGTAATTTTTTTTCCCAGTGTATATCTTCGTTAATCAGTCGTATTAAATTTTCACCTAATTGACAGTTATTGCAGAGAATGGAATTGAAGATAGTTTTTTCATGCATAATTGAATCCATTTGAAGCATCATATTCAAAGAAATCAGAAAACAGATTTAAAAAAAAAGAAAATGGCAAATGGCATGAATGCAACCAACAGATATAGCTATTGTTATCATCTTCGAACTCTGACAAAGTGCCGTGGGAACCAATATTTCAAGCTATGATTGAATCAATTTGGAGCATCATATGCAAAAATATTCACAAAAATTATTCTACAAATTGAAACAACGAATATTGCTATTGCCTTCCCATTCGATTTCGATCAAAGGGGCATCTAAAAAATTTTATTAAGCCATCATTGAATAAATTTGAAACATTTTCGTTCAGTTATCGTCGGGCAACCGATTTTTAAAGAAATTCCAAAAAACGATATATGAATTGTGTCAATCAATGTGCACGGAGAGAAAAATTCAACAAAAATTACCAGAAAAAAACGTAAAAATTACGGTTCGAAACGTAATCCGCGAGCGAAGTAAAATTCAATAAAAAGTGTGAGTCGGAACTGAAATTGTTTTGAATCGCCATGTAAATCCTACTACTTGTTCCGTAAAAATTAACCACCCATTTGATGATTCATCGCCGTGAGGACAACAAGTTGTTCCATAATTTTTCCCCAACGATTGAGCAATTTGACGGAACGGAACGTAGAAATAACTCACCAACTCCATAAAAACTGTTGAACGTTCAAGAATTGTTGATTTTGGAGGCATAAGTCGGGAAGTGTCTGCAAGATTTTACTTCTTCGGGAAAAATTGCGTGACAATTTCATACTTTGTTCGGTGATGAACCTGAAAATTTACTGAACGTTTCGGATTTCTTCTCTTCCATTCTTATAAAAATTGCCAGAAAACGATTCCCCATTGTGGATTACGTGAATTGTTCCGTCATTTTTACTGAATATTTTTCTCCGTGTGCTAGCACACATTTAGCTTCTAAAATACTCAGATCATTAACAATCGTGAAAGTTACGGAAAGTGCCACTTCATGCACAAAAATCTGTAAACGAAAAGGAACTTTTGCAAGTACGTGTTTCACAAAAACTAATAGGGGTCGCAACCTTCCGTAATATTATATTATATGAGGTTGATTTTCCGCATATTATAGAAAATATATATACCATCCTATGATTGACAATAATTTCAGACACATATCCGGAAAACAAGAACAGCACGGAATAGTTTGATGTGCCTCGACTTCCAAAATTATTTGGCAATGTCAGGAAATCTTTTGGGTTGCCGTAGGGAAGATGTAACTTACGTTCGTACAACGGGTATCGTCAGCACTAGCTACCATCTAAGACAACTCCAAACGGCTGTGCCCTCAACCCTCCCCCCCTGCCCTCACACCAAACGACTCGGTGGAACTTATGCCGCCCTAACAACGTGTTCCGCTGACACGTTCAAAGTTCGATACTAAAGTTTCATCGAATATTATTCGCCGCTGGCAGTATAACTAACCATCAAAAGATGCAGCAGAGCGTCATATAGCTAGTCATTTATTGATTCAATAATCTATTCACGAGTGCAATAAATTTGTCGTGAATTCTACGCTCGGATTAATAATTTTGTACATTCATATGATTAGATTTGAGACGAGACGAGTATTCATGAAAATTTCAGGTAATGTTCCGGGAATAGTTTCAATGAAACTTCCAGATAATATACATAAATGGAGCTATCAGCCAAGATGACATCTTGTTTCGGCATGATTACAATTCCTTTGGCGCCACGATTTAATATATGTTTTCCGTATCATTTTTTCTCAGGATTGCGAGAAAAATAATGAAAAAAAATTCATCTTCATTATTTTTCCTGAATTATGGAGATTTTTCATAGAAGACAGGAGTTTATATAGCATTTCACATCTTGTGACGTCACAGGATATTGTTGCATAGGATTTTGGAGTAGGTAGGAGGGGAACAAGGATAATTCTCAATATTAGTTTACAAGAAAATGCTCTATAAAAAAATGGATGAAATATTTTTGGTCAGCAGTCTATTTTGCCAGGCATATGCAAGACTTGGAAATATTTCATCTTACTTTATGATTCAAAACTGATCAAAACCAGTTTTTACCGATCACACAGTTCAAAATTTTTGTCTGAATTTTTCGTGCCAAATTCCGGAAATTTTTATCGTGTTCCAATTCCACTGAAATTGCAGGAAATCTTGTCATTGAAAATTCGGAATCTCGTGGAAAAATCAAACAGAAGTGTAAATTTCCGTTCATTTTTCCCTGAAAATGAATAGAAAACCAGAAAATTCTGGTAAATATATTCTTGAATTTTCAGGATAGTGACACTGAATGCAATTTAGGGGGAAAAAAATTATGAAATTTCAGATTTCACTGAAAATTCAATACAATTTGACACTGATTATTTTTCCCAATCAAATTTCGACCAATCAGAGCGCAATATTTGAACCGACAGTTTTATTTCGAATATTTTCTCCTAGCTTTTGAATATTTTGCAGTAGTTCTTCATTTTTTTTACCTGAATATTTTGCAGTAGCTCTTCATTTTTTCGGCTCATTTCAGATAGAATCTTATATTTGACAGTCTATGGAAATCGGGTTATTCTATCAACATAATTTGTTCAAATCTTCCCCAATTCACCTTCTGATGTTGTCCACTGCACTCTGTTTGGCCAAAATCCGATTAAGTAAAATAATCCGACAAATACCACTCGAGATTCAAAATTAATCGGGTATTTCCCTCAAGCTCCCCTGTAAACAAACCATCGTGTCAAGTTTTGCAGAGGAATCCCTCGTAGAAACGCTCGGGATTTTTTAATCTGCAAAACTTGACACCCTCATTTGTTTGCAACGAAGCGACTGGGAAATACCCGATAATTTTGAAGCTCTTGGGGTATTACTACTGAATATTCATATTAGATTGCAAATTCAAATAAATTAAGGAATTCTCGTCTTTATGTCCCTTAAAATTCTGGCATTTTACCAAATTTTCAGTGACACCTGAAATTTCATGATTTTTTCCCTCTAAATCACATTCAGTGTCTCTGTCCTGAGAATTGATGGTCAACTGCCCATGAAATTTCATTTTTTTTTCTAACAGTGCAGTCCCTTATTTCAAGCAGATTTGAATTTACAGGGGCAGCTTCAAGTAATTCTGTCGATGCCGAAGAATTGGCAGCACTACCCCTTCACCCTATGTACGGTATATACAGATGTCATATATGAGGGGCTCTCTTCCAAATATAATCCCAAAAAATTGAATTTTAATTATTGGCCTCCCTACGCCCAAAATTCAATTAATACACAAAGAATAGTCAACATACTATAATCCCGAAAAATTGTTCAACCGTGATGATTCGTAACTCCGAAATTGCATAGCAAAAGTGCATATCAATGTGCTATGGACTTTTTTCTGTCATTTCGAATCCATCAAAAGCTTGATCGAAATACAATGTTCGACGTGGGACGGCCCTTTGATTGGCTTTAAATTGAATCGCTTTTTATTTTCTTTGTTTTCCACCATTTTCTTTTTTTTTATTCCATCGTTATCTGCTGTACGAGAGAGCCAGTGTCGCGATATGGTAGGAAAAAAATTGCCGGAGCAGTGATGCGAAGGACTATTGTCCTGGTCATTCTCATTTCATTTACGATCGAGAAGATACTTTGGGGGTAATTACCGGGTGTATTGAAGTCAATGGTCTCGCCGTCCACAGTTACTCGGCCGTTACGATCGACTCTGCGTAATGCGACGTCATGCCAAGTTCCATTGTCCACACGACGTTTGGATGCTCGGACTTTGAGATGACCACTGCCCAGGTCGATATGGAGATAGAGATGGCCGTCGAGGATCTCAAAGGCGAACAAATCCGGCTGCAAGAATTCATATACAAGGGTCAAATGATAGTGTTTAAATTTACAATGCTAGTGTTTTTAGTGATGAATTCACTCGGATGGAAGTCCTTTGATAGCGCTATTCATCATTTTAGATAACTGTGAGTACTCAATATAAAACGGTGGCTGCAGTGTTTTTTTTTTTTTTAATTTTTTATTTTTAACAAGGTTATACCCATCGAGAATGCTATCGATTATTAAATTATCGGTCACGATCCCCAGGCGTTATTCACGGCCTGTAGCCTCTACAATTATCGGCGGAACTCGTAGTGCTTTTTCCGTGGCCTACGGGCGTCGTTGGGGTAAATAAATACTTGTGTCTCGAATTTTTATGTTGCGATATTACGGGAGTTGATGAAAATATCATGGGTTCTTTTTTCTAAAGTGAAAATGTGTGGAAGATCCAGTTGGGCCCTGATGAAGCATGCCCATTCCACCGACACAAATGAAGAAAAACAAATTTTTCCATTTTCTAGCCGATTAGCCCTTTTTAAAAATCTTCGGTCGCGAATTCGTGATTTTTGCTATTCAATGCCATTCATTACATTCATGATTCTATCAAAAGACAAGGACAGAAATCGAATTGATGGGTATTCAAAATTTATTCCAATTGTCAAGTCTGGCTCTAGAAATGACATTATGAACTACCGCCCGATATCTGTGTTATACAACTTCTCCTAGGTCTTCGAGATTTGTGTATGGGGTATTCCATGTGAACTCACTCAGGTCAAAACTCTCACCATCGCCAGTCATATTGCCGATTTTTCCTGTGGTTGTATATGAAAAAATATGATTTCTAAAATTTTTTCAGATTTTTTGAGGCATCCTGTGGACAGCCATGTTTTTTTGCAAGTTTTATCTTTAAATGCCTGTAACTTCCGTAAAAATCAACCGATTTGAGTTTTTTTTTTACAAAATGTGCGTCTTCGAACACACTTTCTATGTAAAAATATGCCAATTTTTTTCAATTCGTTCTTCCATCGATTTCCTCAGAAAAACCTCAAAAAACTTCAAAAAACGAGTCGTTTTCAAAGTTGGACCCTTTTTATATTTTTCAAAAAATTTCAGTGAATAGATTGGACCAAAACAAAATTTTTCACCAAAGGCCAAAGTGGGCATACCTATTTCGTGGCCGTCATTTCCAATTTGAATATATGAATCCGGGATGAAAAATTTCAAAAATTTCAAAATTCTTTTTGCATTTGAACGCAGAAGCATTATTTGAATTTACCGCCTGAATAATCACTGCATTGTATTCGAATCTGAAACAATTTGATGATTTTTCGAAAATTCGTTAACAATAAATCTTTCCGAGTGGTGTGTTCTAATAGAGATCCCACTTTGGCCTGCTCTTTGCTGCTTGACATTTATGCAAACCTTCATTCGGGGAGCTATTCACAGGCGTAATTGTGGTGTCACTCGCTAATGGAATCAATTGTAATCTCTGTGAAATCAATGTAATCATTGTAATCACATGATTACCATATTTGTAATCAAGTTTTGGTAATCAAGTGGTAATCATTTATAATCACTGTAATCACTGTAATCATTTGTAATCAGTGTAATCTTTCGTAGTTGCTCCTAGTGAGACTGTGAATTTTGTTTTTGAATTTTCAAGCGCGTCATTTCTACCAACGGTAAGTCTCAGAGATCCCTGGATCAATTTAACCTGGAATCCTAGATGTTTATGGTTCAGAATCTTGCATAGCCAATGCGTTTTGCACAGAGCATTTGTCCGTAGAAAATTGATTCACCAGAATTAAAATTTCTTCTTATTCTGGAGAACTAACGACTAAATTATCTCTGAATTATCTGCTGGTAAGTTTCATTCTCATCAATGGTAGGTATTCAGTAAATTTATTTTGCTGATACACGGAAAGAAAAATTTGCTAATACGTAGACCATATTTACTTGAGAGAAGTAAATTGTTTTCAATAGTTTAAAGCTCAGAATGTTTGCTTATCACTATCGTTGCGCATGATATCATGAATATATCACATATCGAAATATTGGAACTGCATAACAAAAAAATTATGAAAACAATAAATACTTGAAGATTGACGATTCTTCTACGCGATTTGAGTGAGTTCATTTGCGACAAAATCATACTTGAGTACAAGAATATTTTAAAGCATGAGACCTTTCTCTGGCCACCTGAGTTGCGAGGTCTGAGAGAATTAAATAATTGAAGAAAAATTACTTGTCTGAAGAAAATATGTTTCAGATATTAGAATTTTTTTTTCTCAGTGTAGCACTTATAAATGCCCAAATTTTTAGATGGAGTGATGGAGACTGCATTCCNTAATCACTGTAATCACTGTAATCATTTGTAATCAGTGTAATCTTTCGTAGTTGCTCCTAGTGAGACTGTGAATTTTGTTTTTGAATTTTCAAGCGCGTCATTTCTACCAACGGTAAGTCTCAGAGATCCCTGGATCAATTTAACCTGGAATCCTAGATGTTTATGGTTCAGAATCTTGCATAGCCAATGCGTTTTGCACAGAGCATTTGTCCGTAGAAAATTGATTCACCAGAATTAAAATTTCTTCTTATTCTGGAGAACTAACGACTAAATTATCTCTGAATTATCTGCTGGTAAGTTTCATTCTCATCAATGGTAGGTATTCAGTAAATTTATTTTGCTGATACACGGAAAGAAAAATTTGCTAATACGTAGACCATATTTACTTGAGAGAAGTAAATTGTTTTCAATAGTTTAAAGCTCAGAATGTTTGCTTATCACTATCGTTGCGCATGATATCATGAATATATCACATATCGAAATATTGGAACTGCATAACAAAAAAATTATGAAAACAATAAATACTTGAAGATTGACGATTCTTCTACGCGATTTGAGTGAGTTCATTTGCGACAAAATCATACTTGAGTACAAGAATATTTTAAAGCATGAGACCTTTCTCTGGCCACCTGAGTTGCGAGGTCTGAGAGAATTAAATAATTGAAGAAAAATTACTTGTCTGAAGAAAATATGTTTCAGATATTAGAATTTTTTTTTCTCAGTGTAGCACTTATAAATGCCCAAATTTTTAGATGGAGTGATGGAGACTGCATTCCTTTGTTCTAATCCCCGTCCCTCATTCCTCATTTCTTTGCAGATTCTAATAATTAATTATTCCATCAATTTATATTTAATAAGAGGCCATTTTTTGTGATTTCAATGATTACAGATGTTTGGTAATCACAGAATGTAATCGANTGAGTTCATTTGCGACAAAATCATACTTGAGTACAAGAATATTTTAAAGCATGAGACCTTTCTCTGGCCACCTGAGTTGCGAGGTCTGAGAGAATTAAATAATTGAAGAAAAATTACTTGTCTGAAGAAAATATGTTTCAGATATTAGAATTTTTTTTTCTCAGTGTAGCACTTATAAATGCCCAAATTTTTAGATGGAGTGATGGAGACTGCATTCCTTTGTTCTAATCCCCGTCCCTCATTCCTCATTTCTTTGCAGATTCTAATAATTAATTATTCCATCAATTTATATTTAATAAGAGGCCATTTTTTGTGATTTCAATGATTACAGATGTTTGGTAATCACAGAATGTAATCGATGAAATCATTTGTAATCATGTAATCACATTCTGTGCTCTTGGTAATCATGGTTACCACATGTGCAATGGTAATCAGTCCCGTAATCCTGGGTAATCGATTACATTTTGTAATCGCAGTGTCACCCAATTCGCCTGTGAATAGCCCCTCACCTTTATTATGTAAATATAAGTGAATTATACTGAGATATATGTCCGGGTATATGTTCTTTCCATGAGGGATACAGTTTTCTAAAAAACGTATGGGGAGCTTCTACTCGTCATGAAACGTCGACATTTCATGAAATTATGATTTTTCATTTCCAGGGTGAAACCAATAACTTCCTATCGGGAAATTGAAAATATATCAATTTGCCTAATTATCTGAAGATGTGAAGAACCAGAGCTCTTTTCTACGAGTGTCATTACTTCGTCGCGCAGATACAGAATTTTCTCTTCGGGCTCTCAGATATTGCGGTTAATATCGAGCAATGAGTTCTGTTTAATCCGCTTGAAAACTAATCGTGAATATTTTATGCCTCCATTTTTTTTACACAAGCGATAATTACTAAGAGTACTTACTCGTGCCGGCGCTCCACTGCGGCTGTACATCACTAAACCATTAGGTTCATTTGTACGTATTTTGAAAGATATACTTCCGGATTCCGCAGCTTTCCATGGAGGTAGTACCTAAAACATTTTTAAAAATCTACAATTACAAAAATCTTGTCATGATACATGAAGTTAAATACATAAATATCATATAAAAAAAATTCTCCAGATGTTGATGTGAAGACCATGAAGCTGCACCGATGTTCCCTGAAAAAATGATAAATCTCTCAACTGAAAAAATATTTTCCTGAAACCTATCTCTTCGTGTATAAATAAAATGCTCATTTTGATTAAAAGATTTTTCTCCCGTATTTCCTACTTTTATTATTTGCGAATATGTATGAGGAATACACTCGGCAGGTAGTGAAGACCGAAAAACATAAAATAAATAACTGTAAAAAAAAATTGCGGAAGGACTACCCCAGGTATGATGCTGATTCATGGCGGTTAGGCGTGCTCTGCATTATTCAGAGAATAACTGTCTGACTTTAAATATGGCCACACCACTTAGACTGTCGGAGAGTGTAACATTTTCTGTTATTTTTTTGTATCCATGTATTTTCCTTTTTCTGGATGAAATTATTAAGTCGATGTTTTCTTGGTGTAACATTAATAAATGAGCTACGTAATTCTTCTTTTGGAATTAAAAATACTCTCGGCTGGGTGAGGCCAATTAGCTGCGATGTTTAAGGAGATTTATAGTGGTATTTCTGCAGGATTTTTTTCATTTAGCCAGTTCGCTGGTGGTGAATTTGATGGACGGCTAAGGGGATTTCGCTTCAATTGTAATTTAGGAGGGGGGGGGGAGACATGAAATAGTGGATTGCGGGTGATCTTCGGATATTTGTTGAACAGGATTGAACGGAAAATTTATTTAAGGGGAGACTACTATGAATTTTAAAATTCGCGGGCTATTGGAATGTGATTTCTCGTACATTGAAGATCGATTATATATATCTAAAAATGAGTAATTGATGCAAAAAATTCAATTGGTTATTGTTCGTTTGCCTCGTAAACGTTTAAAATGTTAAAAATAGTCTAGGACCTCTGATTTTTGAGCTACAGAAGATTTTTTTTTCAATTTTTTTTAGAAAATGAGTAGAAAATAATTACGAATTAGTTTTTTGAAATTCAACTCCTACACGGCCAATTTCGTTATTTTTGAATAAAAAATTGTATCATCTATGTAAAATAGCCCAAAAAATGTTTCTGAAAGAATCGAGACTATATTTTAAATATTTTAAGGATAATTTTTCTGCCTATTTTACATGAATGGCGCAAATTTTGATTGTCAACAAAACGAAATCAGCAATGTAGCCATCGAATTTTAAAAAACCGATTCGTAATTATTATTGCACAAATTTTTTCAAAAATTTTGAAAGAAAAACCTTTCTAGCTCAATAATTGGAGGCTCTGGACTCTTTTTAACATTTTAAGTGTATGCGAGGCAAACAAACAATGACTAATTAATTTTTTTACACTAATTATTTATTTTTAGACGTATATAATCAATCTTCAATGTATGAGAAATCTCAGTCCAATCGCCCGTGACTTTTAAAACTCATAATAGTCCTCATAATAGTTACCCTTAATGGGTAATTAACAAATCTGAAGAGTGAATTGTAATGTTGATGTAATCATATGCAACATCCGAAAGAACAGGCTTTGCTTTGAGACTGATATTTTCAAATTCCGACTTGTGAAAGTCTCGAATTGAGATTTTCAAATTTCTCAAATTGAGACTTTCCAGAGTGTTAAGATGTTTCGTGCGAAAAAGGTAAATAATGACATTCATCTGGAATTCATATAGAATTTTAATAACCACAATTGAATTATCTATGATTTACCTAGAATTTTTTCAGCTTTCATATCCAAGTTATTAACCATTTAAGTCGCTTCTTATATATGGGCTCTTATGGAGATTTTTCTGTTTTGCACAAAACTGCGTTGCCATCTGAGCTGATAATATAGTGTCATACTAAACAGAAAAGTGTCCATAAGAGCCCATGTATAAGAAGCGACTTCAATCGTTACTAACTTCAAAATGAAATCTGAATTTTTTTTAGGAAAATTCATAGATAATTGAATTCTGATTATAGACATTCTGCATGAATTCCAGATGAATGTTATTATTCACCTTTTCCGTAGGAAACACCTTAAGGGGATACGTCGGTGAAATTTAAAAGTCTTCACTAGGCCTTGGGACCCATTGAACAGTTTGTGATATATGACCGAATATGGGAATAACTAGGGAAAATCGTGAACCAGATCGATTTTGCCCCGTATAAACACGAAAAACTTCCTTTTCCTATTTTTACCTTCAAAATGCTCCTTGCGCCGTAGGTTTCGTACGATTTTAGCTTTTTTTTTAATGTTCGTTACACTCCAAAGAACAAAGTAAAGTATCCGTTTGACTTTATTTGCAATAGATCATGAATGATTTTATGGCTTGATTCAAATCGATTCTTCGGCTTGATTCTAGTCAAATCGACACTTGTTCCAGGTCGGAGAGATACACTGTCAGAAAAAAATCTAAATTTATGCAAAGTTCAATAGTTCTTTTTATGAAAATGAAATTAAATTCAATTCACGGAAAAAAAAATCATGAAATTTCAAGTTTTACAGATTATTCCTTCATCTGAATGTCAACTAATAGAAAATCAGTACTTAAGTTTTTGCGGATGAGAGGGGGTAGAATTATTATTTCCATTTAGTCGCATGGACATCTTGTATGAAGATTTTCTGTTAAAATAAATGAAAATCTGGTGTGAATATAGCTTCAACCCGCAAAACCTCTTCTCTTTCTCTATCAATGAAATTCCATTTGAACAACAACACCCCCCCCCCCCCCCCCNTCGCTAATATAGTGACCGCCTGTACCGGCATGGGTTTTCTGTGGTTTTCCATGCTACTCCTATGTTCTATAGGAGTGCGAATGCGGTGCAGAGTAGAATCCACAGCCGCATGCATAGGGTTGGATAGGGCCGATTAGCCAATCAGAGGGCAGAAAGGGCCGGAATATAAAAAAAAAACAACCCCGCCAGGGAAACCATGGAAAACCTCAGGCGTGCAGCTGGCCGATAATGCAGAGATTGCACCGTGTCCATTGGTCACAGTGACTCAATGGGCACAGTGGTCCTCTACATTCGTGCCTAGCGATTGTAGTCCCACGCGGTTTGGTGTGCCCAAGCGGACACCCATCCAAGTACTGGGCAGACTGAACGCCGCTTAGCTTGGATGACCGCCGGAGCCACACACTCCCCACGTGACCACTACAGCCACTCATTTGTTAACTATTAACGAATGAACATTTGGTGAGATCGAATAGACCCTAGACTTGAACCAAATCTATTTGTTAATAATAACTAATCTTTTCTATCAGTGTGTTTTTCTCAAAAATCTATCGCCGAATTTCAGTGATGAAAATCACTGATGATCAGGGTCGCTTTAGTCAGTGTCTATTGCCACCAATAACTGAAGACGGATCCCTGAAAAGTAGTAGCATGGGCATGTCCCAGGAACTACGTTATATGTCCATAAAAATCAAAACGTTTTTTTTCTCTGGTAATCTCCCAAACTGACAGTTGATGTCCAATGAATTGTGAATATCATCGAAATATGGAACTGGAGAAGCGTAACTAACAAGACAATTGGTTTATGAGTTGAATTGGTCCACTGTTTCAGCAGTAGTCAATCACACTCTTGCATTTACGAGATCATCAAAACAGGCCCGAGTCTATCAAGAAACGAATTTATCAGACATTTACCCACAAACAATATAAAACCGATGGTATTGATTATTAATATCAGGTGTCTCCATAAATGTACCCGCAGAGGAGAAAACCGGTGGATGGAAAAACTTGGAAGAATTATGACTTGGGGTATTAGGGGGGCGACGGTGGAACTGATCGTTTGGTCCGTGACGTTAATTTCATTGATGCGGGGACTTTGGCACTTCAAAGGACTGATTACAGGGGAAATTCTCGTTATTTAGTCTAGTAGATTCTGGGACATAATGCCACCTTTCCATCAATGGAAGTTTCAATAATCAGTCCTCTCGCGGGGCACCAACCGATGGAGGAGATTGCACACGGAGAAAAAATATAAGAAAAATTTTATCAATAATTTTGTTACTCTATGGGTCTTACGGTGTTTCGTCTGTAGATCTCCGATGGGGTGAAATGGAAGGAGAGTGCTATTGTTGTAGAGCCCTGATTCAATCGCTGAACCCAAAAAATCCGAATTTTCAAATCAAGTTTTCCATTATAATATTGACGTTCTATGCTTCGATTTATTTCGTGAATTAATTAGATTTTTTTGAAATCTGTTACGTTTATGGGATTTTTTAAAACTTTCGTTATAAATATCGAAATTGTATAAAAATGTACAGAAAAAGTGGCAATGTCGCACGAAGTGACCATTTCATTTTTCCAAGCTGGTAGTTCTGGAGAGTATTCTACTCGCCGGTTTAAGTTTGTGTGGTGTATAACCTATGTGTTCCCATGTGGTCCCTACGTTAAATCCATTGACAGTGACAAAAACAAATAAAAATGGGTCGTTTGCCGTCAATTAAAAATACAGTAAACTCTCGCTAAAGGGTAAAGGGCTGTATCATTTCCAAGAAATGAGTTACTTTCCACCGGCCCCCACTCCTCAACCATTGCCGACCCAAATTCTCAGAAAAATGAGAGGGGATGAATAGTTTCATTTTTGAACAAAATTATTTGGACATCTGTATTTACGTACAACGTTGACTCAAGTCGACTTTGCGGTTTAATTCAAGTTGATTTTTCGGTTTGACTTAAACCGAAAAATCGGCTTAAATCAAACCGATAGTAGCTTAACACGTTCCTACTTGAAATAAATCACTTTTCGACTTACGTCAGACCCGGAATCTGGATTGGCATAGTTCAAGTCACTCGACTTGAATCAAGTAGAAAATCGGCTAGAGTCAAGCCGACGTCGCCTTGAATCAGTACTTTTTTTAGGTGAAAAGAGTCCATTATGTCATCAGGCGATAAAATATTATCTGACGAATGTGACTTTATTATAATCACATTCGTGAGCTAATACTATTA